TTGACCTGCAGTGATCCTCCTCCCAAACATTTATGATGAGATCTTGCTCCTGCTTTTCTTATTCACTGAGGCTTGGTGTAAGGTCTGATGCTTCTACAAAGATGGGAGAGAAACCTCTAGGTCTATAGATGGAGTAGAGTTCACACTGCTGGCAGGCTGGAGGAGGAATATACTGGGATTGAACCCAGGGCATCGTACATGCTAAAAATGAGTTCAATTTTAAACACATTTGAGTTTGAAGGGTCTTTGAAACATCCAGTTTGATTGGAATTGAAGCCTATCCCCCCATCCAAAGGCAACTAACTGCTCTTCATTCACTTATTGATGCTTCCAGAAAGAGATGCCACCAATGTTCCCAGGTGGGCCCAAACACCGATATGCATTCCACAGCAGCACAGCATCCATGCTGCAGAGGTGCCCAGCAAACCTATTGACTACAGGATCATCACTTCCTTGGCAATATCTCAGTTTGATACAACAGTGGAAAGCTGGTTCCCAGTCAACGGAAACATCACCACCAAGACCAGGCAAGACATTCAGATCAAAAATGTGCCTGCAAGTCTTCATGTATAACCTTGGAGAGTCCACATTTGTCTTCTAGTTAGAGACATTGGGGATCTCCTTGGTAAAGGGGGTGCTCCAACCAATAACAAAAGGACATTTCTATATGGCTCTTCATTCCCAATGCTCACTCCCCAAGGCTGTGGGGAACTGTCAGCCTATGCACTTCAGAGATTACCTATGTATTCATCCCACCTGAGATCTAGACCCCAGGATCTTCTTCTGTGAAAGAAAACCCCATTCCTCCACTTCAGGGGGAAAAGAACCCTATGGGCTGTGTCCTCCACACTGGTACTCCTACCCGTCCAGAACCTGGGCCTGTTCTAATTAAAGACACACCCCATGAGGAGTATGGGTTAAAGGTCATGTTTACCTCCAGGAGAGGGGGAAGCTGAGCAGAAGCCAGTTCCTTATGTAAAGCTGGATTTCTCAGAGATCTTTCTTATAAGTAGTCTCAAAAATTGCTGATTTTTATAATGTTGTTAAAGTCATCTTTCTGGCTCATGAGAAACTATATTGAAAGAATATCAGAAATAACACCACAGAAAAAAATATTTTAACTAGAGCCCTGCGGTCATCAGTGAGTTCGATTCCCAGATTTGCTTTTTAAAACTCCTTGCTTCATAAATGGTTGACTTGAGGGCCATGAACTGTTCACTTCACATTTTTTCTAGTATTAACTGTTTGAAATTTTAAAATATCTCGTAGTAACTGTTTAGAATGTATGTAAATAGAGGGCTGCCGGAATTTCTCAAGGGGAATAAAGCAATTTACTTCCTATGTCAGCATAGGCTTTCTCTTTTGGTTCCTCTCACACGTTATTTGATGGGGCAACCCCAGGATTTTTTACTGATCTCATTCTACCCCATCCAGGCACCTTCCCATCTCATGACAGTTGCTCTCCATATCTTCTCAAAAACCTTTGCATGGTTCTTTCCAGGAACAAGGAAGAGTATGACATGAAACACAAGAGGGAAACTGTTTAAGAATAAAATATCCGCTCCAAAATTATTTCCAGGGCAGTTTCTACAGAATAGCTCTTCTCCATCTTCATTCTGTTTGCCAGGAATTTCAGGAATAAAAGCAACTTTAAAACCTCTTCTTTCTATCATTGCCACATTTATACTACTATGGTACCAAAAAAATGGGAGACACTTCATGATGTAAATGCCACTGGTTTTAAAGTCAGAGTATTTGGGTTCCTGTCCTGACTTTTTTAATGAAATATTATATAACCTTGTAAAAAAAATACCTCCCTGGCTCTTAAATGCACTATGTTAAGACTAACAAACAAGTGTCAACCTATGAGCCAAGTTATGATTAACAGTTTCTTGTTGGAATCCTTGGTCATGCTCTCAATGATTCTCATAATTTATAGATTCCTTTGGATCTTCTACATCATCAACATGTGATCTAAAAAATAAGGAAAATGTCTCTCCTTTTCTAATCCATATACCTCTTATTTACTTTTCTTGTCTTGTTGCTTTGGCCATTATTTAATAAGTAACTCATTGATTAATGAATAGTATCAGTGACTGGAGAAATTCTTGTCTTTGTTCCTGACTTTTTATTATCTCTAAATGTTCCTTTTCCCTCTCCTCCTCCTTCCCCCTACTGCTTGCTCTACTCTACTTGCCCTTCTGTTGTTATTATTATTTTAATTAGTGCATTATAATTATAAATATAAGTGCAACTCATTCCGGGAGTTTGTACACGGACATAGCATAATTTGATAGAACAAGAGCCTTTGTGGGAGATTCCAGATCCAAATCATAACAGTAAGTATTGAATTTTATCAAAGATTTTATCATATCATCCAGATGATCACATGTTGTTTTGCAATTATTCAATATGATGGGTCATGCTGACAAATTTTTATAATATCTGCTCATTCTCACATTCCTGGGAACTCCTGGGGGTTCCACAGAACTCAGGGAAACATTTACCAATTTATTGTAAAGGATGTTACAAAGAATACAGATGAGTAACCAGATGAAGAAGAACTGAGGAAAGGGTCCAGAAGGTTCCTAAGTACAAGATTTCCGTCCATGTGGAAGTGAGGTGTGCTACCCTCCCAGCACATGGATGTGTTCACCATTCCAAAGCTCTCTGTACCCCATAGTTGGGGGATGTTTTTGTATACTTCATCAATAAGCATGATCAATGATTAATTCAATCTCCAGACTCTCTTCCCTCTCAGAGGACGGGAGATAGTGCTGAAAGTTCCAATTTTCTGATTATGGACTATTCTTTCTGGTCCTCCATCTAACCTACTATTACCTGTTTTTGAGTTTCTGAAAGGGGATAGTGTATAGCTCCCATTCCAAAACTAGCTCAGAGCCCATCAAGGGTTATCTCCTTAAAACAAAACGTTCTCCTAACATCCAAGCAATTAAAAGGTTTTTAGGATAAATATATGTCGCAAGCCATCCATGTGCCAGCTATGTGCATTTGAGCATAGGAGGGAACTGGACTGACATTGCTGCCTGATGACAGTCAGAATGACTCATCTCAGTAACTAGCAAAGGAGGGAAAAGTAAACTGTGCTGTTTCTCTCACTCTGCCTGTGATCCCACACAGCGCCTGTGATGGGTGTGACTTTCCAAGATATCAGTCAAACTGCTGACCACAACGCATCATCAAGCAACACTTCTCTCTCTGAAACCCAACCCCTGCATTATTTGGGTGGTACTTTCTTGTGGGAGGCCAACCTTACACGTGACTGAGTTACACTCCCTGGCTGGGTGCTGAGGCTCTCAGTCACAGAAATGTGGCACCCTTCTTGGGTGCGAGGGTCGGTGTCTCGTGCATGGGTGTGTCTTGCTACAGCCCCATGGGTGAAACTAGGCTCACCTGTTCCTTTGTAATATAACCCCTTGCCCTGTTTAGGATAGAATCTTTCATGGAAGTGCCTTGTGTGTGTCCCCTTCTCTTACTGTGCCCTTTGGTATGGACTACCCAGGTGTCAGTCAACCTGCTGACAGTGGACATCATGAAGATAGACTCAGCCCCCTGAAACCTGACCCCTTGCCTCATTTGAATAGCTTCTCTCCAATAAAAGGGGTCAGTGCGTACTCTCGCTCTCTCTCTTTCTGCAGACCCTTAAGGTCAGAGGAGCTGTCACAGTGACCCCCAAAGAAAAAGGTATTGTGTCTCTTGTGTGGTTATTTTGTGCAGCCCAGTTAGCCCAGTTTAATTGGAGTGACCCCTGAGCCTTTTAGTCGCAAGAACAAAAACCCAGCACTTTCTATCAAATGTCTTTTTCCCCAATAAATACCAGGATTCAGGGCATGCCCTCTCTCTCTTGCCTCTTGCCTACCTGGCTCTCCTTGCCCTCCAGCATGGGAGCTTGATTCTTGAGGCTGCAGAGCCATCTTGAACCCTGAAAAAGGAATTGTGTGTGTGTGTGTGGTTTCTTCACTGCCTGCCCAATTGACCTGTAGTGTCCCTGATTCCATCACATATTGCAACAAATATATGTATATTTCTTATTATTATATCAAAGCATCACAAGCAGTATTCTTATAATTATCATGTCGTCCTAACAAATTGATCCCTTTGCCATTAAAAATATCCCTCTTTTTCTCTTTTCTCTAAAATTAATTTTATCTCATATTAATAGATCCACTCCAACCTTCTTAAGTCTAGTGGCTGAATGGTATATCTTTATTCATCTGTTTACTTTTGACCCATCTGTATCTTTAAAGTGTGCCTCTTACAGACAGAATAGTTTGAGTTTGGTTTTTTTAAAATCCACTGTAACAATCTTTGCCTTTTAATGGGAATAGTCTGTCTATTTACACTTAGTGGGATTATTGATGTTGTTGTAATTGGATCTACCATCTTACTGAACATTAAATTGTCTGCCTAAATTTTATTGGCTTGTAGGATATCTTTAGATATTATAAGATGCTCATGGGATGTACGCATGGCAAATATCTTCTCCCACTCTGATTTGCCTTTTTATTTTCACAATGGTCTCTTTTGCTTAAAAGAACCTTTGATTTTGCTGTAATATACCCTAAGCCTTTGGTTTCTCATGTGTAAAATAGGATCTACAGCAGTAACTCATCAAGTTCTTAGAAGGAATGAGTAAAAGAAAGCAAGGACTTTCAGCATAGCTCCAGGCACTTAGGAAAGCCCAATAAATATTATTTTCTAGAGTGCCACCTATTTGTTCCCCATCTAACCTTCTATTTCTTGTTTTTAAGCTCTGAAAGGTGGTACTGTACAGCAAAAAAGGGGGGGCAGGCCTTATGGTTTTGATCAATTCCTAATCTAAATCTATGATTTATGATCTGCAACAGAAGATAGTTTCACCATCTTTGGGCTCAGGTTACTTTTCCCTCCTTTACTATTTGCTGAGATGAGTCACCCTGTCAATAGGATGTGACCTCCTATATTTAAAAGAGGTGAGCCCTGTTAGAGAGAAGAGGTTTCACTTTAGTGACTAACACTCAGAGAACCATATGGCAGGTTCACCAGCATGCCTCCTCTTCATCTGTCTCCTCAGCCAGCTCACAGGTGAGTCCATTCTCCCGACTATCTTCCTTATCCTGAGATGTAGCTTCAGGTTCCTGGTTCCACTTTGAAGCTCTGGCTCAAATTAGAAGGTTTTGCCTCCTTATCTAGCATTGCTTTTTTTTTTTTTAACCAGCCTCTGGTCTCTGGGTAGGAAGGGACAATAGGGAAAGGAAAAGGAATGGTCTTGGGGACCAACTACCTTTTGACTGTGCCAGAAAAGAAAGGACTAAAAGAAGTGGTTCTGGGTATAAGAAGACCTATGTTCTACTACAGATTCTGTATGAATTCAGTCTTGATTGTCTAGTCCTCACTCCCTGAGAGGGCAACTTGAAAAGCGCAATGATGCAATCGTATATTTATTTATAAGCATATTTGCTGAAATGTATTTTAACTGTATTTTAATGATATATGCATAACAATGATATCAATGGAAGAACCAGTTGGATTTTCTCTCTTAACCCACACAATCCAATCCATCTGTCCTTAGAAAAACAACTCTTACTGTAGACACTCTAATCACATGGAGGACTGAGGATTTTTATTCACAGGTATGATAGTCTGGGAAGATTTTAGTATCTTTATTGTTCTAATTAGGAGTCTCACAAGTGAGAAATCTTTCTCCTGTCATCAGATTCATGGGGTACCACTATACTAAGTGCTTTCCTTCTGAGCACTTAGTACAGCTGTTCATTATGCGTACCCCAAGCCTACCTGAACTAACTTGCCCCAAACCCCACAGACAGCACCTCCAATCCTTTCCTCCCCATTAGCTGGCCACTAAGTGGTCCACATCTACAGACTCTTACCCCTCCTTGAATTCATCAGAACTTTGTACTGTTAGGAAGCACCTGGTCCTAAGCGGGTGATCTGGAATAGGTTTACTCTAAAAATCACTCCCTGAACGGAAATGGTGACCAGAAATGGAACTTGAAGCATTTGAGATGGGGGAGGGAATACCAGGGCTCTGAAAAGCCCCAGGTGTCCACCTGAAACCTGAACTGTGCACAGCAAGGTGCAAGTGTGAAAATCTGTCATGGGGTCTTCCCCTCTGCCTGCTGCAGGAGACAGTGGGCAGTCTTGTGCTATGTCCCCCAAAGTTGAAAGGTGTCAGATATCATCCCAGAGATTGTCCAGTAGGCAGCTCAGTGGAAGGAGGCTGACCCTAAACAGCCGGGCATTTGACAAGGGCATCCTGGGACTGACTTAGTAGCTCTATTATTGTGGGCAAGTTACTCACCCTATATTCTTCTCAAGTGCATAACAGACAATGAAATCTAACTTGCAAAATGATTGTAATCTTTTAAATGAGATGTCAAATGCAAAGTGACCATAATCACTACTTAAACATCCAAGGTGTTTTTCATACAATTTCCTCAGAAATCTGTAAGACACATATTATAATACCTGTTTTACAAGTAAGAAAATTTGGGCTCACAGAAGTCAAGTTTCATGGGAAAGCTACACAGCTATTAAGAGTCAGGGCAAAGATTGAATTTTCAAGACTAGTGCTCTTTTCATCATACTAAACTGCCTAACACTGAAGTTGATACCACTGAAGCTGGTTCTTGGTTTCCTTAAGAGGGGCTCAGTTACTATGTATTTGAGCTGATTCTTCCACGCAGAGAGACTCAGGTGGGATTTCTTTCCTCTCCAGGCACACAAGTCCAAGTCAGGGAAAGGAAAGGCCCAAGGAGAACAGGTAGCAGTGTTTTAGGGAGGTGGCTATGCCAACAGGAAATCACTCTGGCCAAGCTCAGAGGGCCCAAGGAGTAGCTCTTACTTTTTTAGTATTCTCATCTGAAAAATGGGTACAATAACCTATCCCCCTCACTTTTATGATGATTAAATGACCCAGTAGTTTTAAGGAGGCAATTTATAAATGGAAAAACATGAAAAGAGGTGAGAGGATATTGCAGGGGGTGTTGCAAAGAATCAGAAGAAATAAGGATGATGTGGTAGGAAACGAATGGGGGGCAGAGTGGTGAGGAGCTTGGATGGGAATATTAGGGTCGGATAGTCAGGGAATAGATGTATCAAATTGAGAGATCTGCAAGTTTCTATTCTCCATGTTTCACATGATCTTTCCAAGGGACATTAAGAAAGCAGAAGTTGGCTAAAGAGCAGTCTAAACCATTTTGTTTTATTTTTTAAGGGGTGATTTCCTCTTAAACAATAAAACCTTACACAGAAACAAACATATAAATAACTGTAGGTATAGAGTTGAAGCCTCTCTGATGGGGGGCATCCACGCCATAGCCTCCACCCCATCATCCTCTGTCCCTACACTCTAGCCTTTGGACTCCCCAGCCCTAAGCTTCTGGGAATTATACTGCATTACTCAGACTCCCAGGGCAGCAGTTGGGGAAATCTTACCTTCAGAGACTTGGTTCCTAGCCTTCCACTGACTTGGGGCACATCACCCTAACCTGCTGATCACCAGCCTCCTCATCCATGAAACGGAATTGGACGAAGCAGTCCCTAAGGCTCCTCCCCGCTCTGAGATATTCTGGTTCTTGGTCTCCTTAAGGAAGGAGTCACAACATGCCAGTGCCTTCATGGCGTTCCACAACGAGGCACCAAGCGCTTGGAGAGGTGCTTGGACACTGGGCTGGCAAGCAGGGAGCGGGTCTATACTCCCTCCCCCTTATGCCTTCCTTCTGTACCGCCACCTCTTGTTCTGGCTGCATGACGATGTGCCTTCCTTGTCATCTGGCTCCTTCCTCCACTCAATTCTTAAACCTTTGGAGAACAAGACCAAAAAAAAAAAAAAAAAGGAAGTGACAACAAAGAGGAAGGGGGGAGGGGTGACAAGGGGGGAGATCTTATTTCTTCCCGTTAAGGAGATCATCTCAGAGCCAATGCTCCTGATGCCCAAAACACCTGAGCCTGGGTCCCCTGCCCCAGCTCGCTGTACCTCCAAAAGCAGGTTGGCCGGGGGGTGTTTCCTGCTTTCTTAGCCTTCTGGCTCACTTTGCTCAGAAGCCATGCAGAGATGTTTGGGGAGATCTCCTTTTTTCACTTTTAGCCATACTTGCAGAAGTAAGACCCCAAAATAAGAAGCTGCCTCAACACCGGTTTCAATAGCCCTCCTCACCCTTCATTCCCCCTCCCCTCATGTGTCAGGTATCTGCACCTCTCAAGTGCTTTCAGATCCATATTTACACTTTGACTTCCTCAAACTGCTGGTAAATTAAGGTGTTATTTTTTTTTCTCCCATAAATATTCCAAAAACTGAAACTCAAAGTGGTAAGTGGTAAATAAGCCTCTCAGAGGAACAATCCCACTTCTTTGTGACCTTAAGAAAGTCACTCAGTCTCAGTATTCTAATCTTATAGAGTTTAACTTTTCTCTCATGGAGTTGTTCTGAAGATCAAGAAAGATAATGCCAGCAGGGCATTTGACACAGGCCCTTAATCCCAACAGCTGGGGAGGCTGAGGCAGGAGGATTGCAAGTTCAAAACCAGACTCAGTAAAACTTAGTGAGGTCCTAAGCAACTTAGAAAGACCCTGTCTCAAAATAAAAAAATTAAAAAGGACTGGAGATATGCTCAGTGGTTAAGCACCCTTGGGTTTAATCCCTGACACCAAAAATAAAGAAGAAAGAAAGAAAAACAATGCTGTTAAAGTTACTAACAATTTACAGAGTGGCACCTAGTGTTCATTGCTGGGTCTGTGATTATTGGGGGAACCAGAATGGAATCCAGGGCTCCTGACTGCCAGTAAGACTAGAACCCTTTTTAACACTTCTGCACATGGGGCGGGGGGAGTTAGGCCATTCCTATGCCACTTTCTGGTAAAACCCCGTGACTCCATCATCTATAACATCATCATGCCATGACTCTCTGAGGAGGACCCCATGACTTCATCACATGTCTCTGGGAAGGACCCCAGGACTCCATCCGGAACCTAGTGCTAATAGACCGGCCATGGGCTAATACACATCAAAAGGCTTTGTCCAGTTACCACCCAAGGATATATTTCTTTCTGGAGAATTTTAAAAATGAAGTAACATAAGTGGTGAATTTTGGGGGCATGGGTGTAAAAATAAGTGTTAGAGACTTCCTTGTGGGAGAACTTCTTACTGGGCTTTATGGGTTTTGAATAAGTTTTATTTTAGATGGACAGAGATTCCTCTCTGGGCCTGAAGTAGGAAGTGAACTGACGGTCAGGAGAGGGAGGAGGCCTGGCTGAGCATCTGCTGGTGGCAGTGGGTAGCAGTCTTGGGTTTCGTATCTTTTCACAGAATTATAGATAGCATCATCCTAACCTTAGAGCAAAAGCCCTGGGTTTTCCTGAGGTATGACAACCCTCAGTCACGTGGCACCCACTGTGCCAGAGAAGAGCTATCATTATAGCCGAGTGCCCTCAGACTTACCAAACCATTTAGCTGCTATGAAAATGAGAAAGGGATAGAATAGATGCAGAGGAGGCAAGTTCCGGCATTCCCTGCTCTGACTTTGGAAAAGCAACCCTCTGGAGACGATAGACAAGCCTCACAGTGGTCCAGTCCTCCTGGACCTTTAGGTGAGTATTGGTAGTTACTCATCTCTAGAGTTTTCTGATCCCACGAGTCACATTAAGCCCCTCTACTATGCACCCTAATAATACCTGTTACTTTCTTTTGTATCACACATACAAGTGCTTACTTACTTAATGACCATCTCCCAACCCCATGGAAGCCCGAATCATGACTGTCTTGCTCCCCAGTTATGTATGTGGCTCCTAAACAAATGCCTGTCATAAATGTGAAACTAAATAAATTCTTGTCCAAGGCAGAAATAACTGAATGAGACAAATGTGACCTGCTTTGATATGGTAAAATACTGTAGAGCCACACAGCGCAGGTAGCAAAGCCACCATACAAAGGGAGCTTCAGTTAAGCCCTGGACAGCTGAACAGAAAAGTCCCTTTTTTCTGGATACCTTTTTCCAGCCAGCTGAGAAGAATGGATAAAACTGGTTAGGTCTCACCAACCCTGCCCCTTATTCTCTGAACCCACG